ACACTTTGTTTTTCACGTTAGATCATTTTCACGCTAAATTCTTTTTTGGAATACTGCTTTACCATCCACGAATACTCAAGACGCAAAAGGGTCAATTAAACTTAAAAGTAACATTTTAAAAGAAACATTTCGTGTAATTTTCGCATCTTAATGATAACAATTTAATTATCGCTTAGTTTAGGCGATTAACAGAATATTTACGTAGAGTGAGACATCTAAGCTGTCAATTCTCGACTGGTTATACGCAATACCTTATGATTTAAAATTAATTTGTTCCTAAAAAAGAGTCTTAAATTTATAAAATAATTTGATTGATTGTAGAAATTGCGAAATAATATACATTATTTTACGAATCGCTGAATGATAAAAATTTATTAAAACATTTTTGTAAGAAATTTATTTCTTGATGCTCGTTGGAATTCATATTCAATATAAAATAAATAAACTTTGCGGCAATATGTGAAGATTTATGTTACAATATCATATATGCAATAAACGTATTGATAATTACAGCATAAATCTTGTGAGTTGTCTATGACTTATTTTATATATCTATGTGAATCCGAAATACATCTCAAAGTAGCAATTAATCCATTAATAGATAAAAACCAATGCTAATTAGTTTCATAAAAATATGTATACACATATGTGATGAATATTATATATTTACAATAAACATCTTGAATGACTCACTCTATAATAGTAGCTCCTATAAGATCAAACTTAATAGTTCTTCAATTCTTTCTAAGTATTACTAATTAAACAAAAAAAAATTCTTATTCATACTTCAAACATTAGCAAGAACTAAATTTGGTTTCTTATCTAATAAAACATTAATAAATTGCATAAGATTTTAGTTTCTTTAAAAATCGTCAATGGAACAAATAAAGATACTTCGATAGAAATCTTTCATCTTGGTTGTATTATATGTACCGCATAACGTGTTTATTCTACGTTCTATACAAATAGAGTCCTCGTTTGTGTCCTAAAAGCTTTTGTTTGAATTTTACAGTATAGTAGGGGCTGTTGTTTGAGTATTATGAGAAATAGAATTCTCTGCAAAATATAGGAGAGTTAAACTATTATAGTGCTGTCTATAGTTGAGAGAGAGAGAGGGGGGGGAGGAGTGAGTGAGTGAGGGGAGGGATGGAGGGAGGGGGAGAGAGAGAGAGAGAGAGAGAGAGAGAGAGAAACGTATCATATAGAAATATAAATCTTTCGTTATATTATTTGCATTCTTCATTTTTGTCATTTATACGTACATACACACGCGAACATATGTTCCCATTCATGCGAACACGGTTTTTTTTTCTCTATGTTTTGTTCTATTTTCTATCTATCTTTGTTACTTTGTCGTATTTCGTTAAGTGCATAATGGCATAAGTGTATAAATCGGATACAGTGATACAATTTAAATATATATCAGAATCTTTCGCTGCCGAGAGATAAATATATAAAACTAACACATACAATAATCATGTTGCCCGGCCTACTGTCCGTCTCCTCTTTATATACATTCGCAAGCTACCCTCGCGAAATAATCCGTGCCTCTCAGAAGCTTACTTAGTACTCGCTAGAGTTATCCTATGCCATACTAGTCTCGACAAATTATATTATAATAAGATTATGTTGGTCCAGAAGTATTCAGGAATATTAAACGCGTCGCGTACGAAAATGGTTAGACAGTTCTTTTCTTATTGCGACTAAAATACATCCGCAACATTATGTTGCATTATTGGTCCTTCTGTTCACAGAACACACAACATTTTTGGTCAAAGAGCTATACAAAATTTCGTTTGTACTTCGTTTGTACAACTAACGTTGTGTGGAGAATCGCTGCCGGCTAATCGAATTCATTCTGAATGCAAAGTAAGTCCTGTGTGGTATCATTAGTAATAAAATTAATTATAATGTATCATTTGCGAAACTACAACTATATGCAGTATATATATTTCTCTGTATGTTTCTTCATCCAGAAAATGAACGACAAAGTATCTAGGACGTTCGAGAAAATATCAAAATATTCAGTAATCTTAATCATTACGTATAATATAGTGAACAGAAAAAATATGAATGTAAGCTTTGTAAGTTGTATGAACTTTTCTTATTCTTTGCTAGCTCCTTCAGATGGAAATGTTATTCTTGTAAAAATTGGGGTGTGTGTGTGTGTGTGTGTGTGTGTATGTATATATATATATATATATATATATATATATATATATATATACATACCTCCATTTTTACAATATAATTTGGCCAAAAGATAACGTCGATCACGCTGCTAACATGATACATTTGTGTGTGTGTGTGTGTGTGTGTGTGTGTGTGTGTGTGTACACAGATATACACACACACACACACACACACACAAATGTATCATGCTTTTGGCTAAATTATATATAATTTAAAAAGATTATCTTTTCGTATATATAACGCGGTTATGCAGTTTACAATCGTGACTTTCGTCCAATCGTCCTAGATATTTCAAAAAATATTTCATTTGTCTTAATTGCTAAAGCAAAATAAAAATGCAACATTTTTTAGGTCCTATTGTTATTAGTGTTATTGCCGCTGGTGGTGTTATTGTTATTATTGTTATTGTTGGAATTAAGTGGGCTGCTGATGTTGTCAATCTCACGCTGAGCGCGCGAGATCTTCACTTTATCTCGCGGTGTGCCATCCTCGCCAGTTTCCATTGCGAACATTTTCATTTTCTCCTTAAAGCTGAGTTTTTCTGGCACCGCGCCAATCTGCGAGTTTTGCTGCTGTTTCTGCTTTTCCGCCAGTCGCTTTTGTCTCGGGTCCCTGGTACAGTAAAATGTTTTTTAGCACACTTGCGTCAAAAGTTTATTCAGTACTAGTTTTTTAAACGTGCGTGCGTGCGTGCGTGCGTGCGTGCGCGCGCGCGCACACGTATGTGCGACAAAAACTTACTTATAGACTTCTTGAGCTCCGATTACACCAGGAGTGGCGCCAGTAAACGAAGTCCCGGATCCTTCCGGTGTCTTGGGAGAGGCTAATAAATTCTCTGCGTCGTTGATAAAATTCTGGAATATAATTAAATAATAGAATATACGTATATTAATATATAGCAAATTTATTGAATGAATGCAAAAATTCGTGCCGGATTTTTTAAATTAAAAGTCATTTAATAATCTGACATTCAAAAGTCTACTTAATTGACTATTTCACGAACCGTATTTTAATTTAGAAGTTAATGTCCGTTTTTGGATCAATACATTTAAGTATTGTATCCGGAATTGGACGAGATTGCGGTTTAGCCAAACAAATACCGAATTTTATATTTTAAGTATCACCTCTTTCAATTATTTTATATATTTTATATAGTTTGAATAATTAATTTGGTATTCAATTTTAATTAATTTATATTCTTGAATAGATTTATTACTATTATTATTAGGATTATTATTATTAATATAGTAATTATCTTTGGAAGTATCTGATGGATTTCAATTGGATTTAGGAATTGATTAAGTTTTTGGTAAAGTGGGGGAAAGAATTTATGTCAGAGCTTTCCAACTTGGACACTTTTACGTTATAAAATTCCTTTTCCTTATTTTCCCCATTAAGTTTCTGAGACTTCAAGAGACAGATCACAGTACTATAGTATAATACTGTGATCCGTCTCTGTAAGTCAGAAATCTAATCAGAGAAAGAAGGATTTTATAACGTAAAACGCACGCCGTGTCCAAGTTGGAAGGCTATGGTTTTTGTTTAAAAATCAACTTTGATTAGAAATTTAATTCTTTTAATCTGTACTTGTCCTAATAAGCCCCTTTAGAGGGAGGGCATTCAAAACTATTCTCAAACTAGTATTTATTATTCGAAAAAATATCTCGACTATTGCCGCATTCTTCGTCAGCGACAGTTAAACATCGCAGATCCGTCGTTTCTTCAACAAGTCCCCAAATTAATAAGTTCAGATTGGGGTCAAGATATAAATTAATTTTTATTGATAAGGATTAAAAGTCAAATCAACTAATCAACTATAATTTAAAATAATTAAAGGTAAAATAAATTTATTTTTAATAATTTTCTTTAAAAAAAAATTTCACTACAAATTTCTTCAGAAGTATTACTCCCGAAAGTCATTCGGTTTACTCGAGCAAATCGGACAGTTTAGTTCAAGATTTGTCAATTGCCACAAGTTTGATTTGTTTATCATCACACAGTTAAATCCAAAATTTTATTTATTGCTACACAAGTTTTAGAATCGTGTTAGGATTATTTTTTACTAACTTGAGCACGCGACTAATTATTCGGTCCTTATACTATATACTTAAATGACAACAATCCCGCACGAGCTTTTCACAACTTCCTACTTAGGAATGTTACGTAAAAAAAAGGTGAAGGAAGGATTTTTATCCTTGTGAAATCAAGTAAAAAAAATCAATATTATGATGACAGCCGGTGTCATCGTTATCTCTCGACGTAATATGAGTTGCTATCAAGTCTTTTTATCACTTTTTGTCTTGTTAATTTTCAATTATTGCATTTCAGATCTAATCATGAATTTTGTTAATTTATATTATTAATTTAGAAAACAATATACAGGGCATATAAGAGTCAAATTTAAAAAATTATAAAAAAATTATAAAACGTGAAAATTACGATAAAAATATAATGATCTGCAATTAATTAATATAAAAAAATAAATACATATTACAGTTTCGGTCTCACGATTGAGCCCTCTTCAGATATTTGACAAAATTGTATATATGCAGTGATGTTAAAATGACGTTAATATGATAAAACGCAGTTGCAGAGATGGATAATGTTATATGTAGTACTGATGACCAGATGGTTTTACAGAGAAACAGAAATTGCTCACAAGTGGTCAGTGTTTGTCTTACTGTCTATATTTTCACCTCTGGACAAATTTTACACACACACACACACACATCACACACGCGCACGCGCGCACAAGCACACGAACACGCACGCATGCATGCATGCACGCCCGCAATATCTTTTGCAACTAGGAGCTAATTTTGTTATGCCTAATAATAACAGAGACAATTGGTGTTCGATTGCATTAAAAGCATCGAAAATAACATTAAGAAATTTCCTATAGATAAAAAGATAAACATCACAAACCATATCTATTTTAAACAATCTAATATCTTCTCTACTATTCACGTCAGACATTGATAAAAAACCTTCAGGAAATGGAAAGAGGCACAAAAAATTTTATCATTTCACATTCGAATGTTATATTTATACAAGCTGATAAAATAAATAACATTATAGTGGCAGTTGAAAGAAATATTTACATGAAAAAAGTTAAAAATATACTAGATGACACCGACACATATGAAATAAGAGAGAAAAATCCCATTAAAAAAACTGACTTGTTCTCTTCGTGATTTGCTGACAAGATGGAAAAAGCATTAACAACGCAAAATACAAACAATTATATTGTAGCGATGGGATTCCGAGAGCCTACGCTGTGCCAAAGATACATAAACCAGGATGTCCATTTAGAATCATAATTTCTTCGATAAGAAGTCCGTTATATGCCTTAGCTTCATTCATACATAATATCTTATTAGATTCTGTTCCAAAGGCGAACAGTCATATCAAAAATAGTTTCCAATTAATTAATAAACTCAAAGACGTGAATATTCAAGAAAATTACAATTTGGTCTCATTGGACTCCCTCATGAATATAAAAAGGACCCTTTGCCAACGTGGAGTTAGTTGATGTTTAACCGAGTACTCAATACTCTGTCAATGACCGGGCCAGTTCTGCCAGGCAATCTTTTCGCTATTCCGATTGATGAGTCAATTTTATCTTAACTTAGTGCGATCGAGTTCCATACATCTACAAGACACCATCAAGATCATTTCCATCAAAGAAAGCCCATCCGGTAAGGACTTCCTATTCAACCAACTGACTTATACGTTCAGTCTGCACACTCAACAAGTAGTAAATGTCGGCCCTTGTTTATTTATTTATTTGTTTGTTTTCTTTTCTTTCTCCTTTTTCTTTTTTTTTGGGGGGGGGGACATCCGCGAGTTTTAGAATTATTTTCACCATGCATTAGGATTCTTCCGTTATCGTTAGAGCAACTTTAGGTTATCCGATCAAGATCAATTTAATCCATAACGACTTTGAGTTAGTAGACCTCAGCGATTAGAACCGTAACATATTAGCACAGAGTATAACTACAGTAGCAACAGTAGCTGTCGGTTTCTTTGATGTCGGTGGTTATCGATCACGTGACTGTCAGCTATGTTGAGAGTTTTACGGACTGCTGAATTTAAAAAACGGCATCAAGAAACATAGTATATCGCACACAAAATATTTTTAAAATTCGAATAAATTTTATATATAAGGTGTAGTAAAAAGAAATTTATTATTTTTGCATTAAATTGAAAGCTTTATTTAGCATAGTTAGAATGATCCGATTTAGGTCAAATATGCACCGTTTTGTTCGATAACTTGTTGCCATTTTGAAGGTAATTTCATTATGCCTCTCTCATAGAAACCCTCGTCCCTATTGGCAAAAAACTGGGACAGTCGATTTTCACAAGCTTCTCTTGAGACGAATTTTTCACCAGCAAAATCATTCACCATAGACAGGAACAGGTGGTAATCACTTGGTGCCAGGTCCGGACTATAAGATGGATGCATAAGAACCTCCCAACCAAGCTCCCGGAGCTTCTGGCGAGTCACTATCGATGTGTGTGGCCTGGCGTTGTCTTGATGGAACACAATTCCTCTCCTATTGGCCAAAGCTGGCCGCTTCTGGGCGATTGCTTCTTTCAGACGGTCCAATTGTTGACAGTACAGGTCCGAATTAAGAGTTTGGCCGTAGGGGAGCAGCTCATAGTAGATGATTCCCTGCCAATCCCACCAAACACACAGCAAAACCTTCCTGATCGTCAATCCTGGCTTGGCCACCGTTTGCGCCGGCTCATCGCGATTCGACCACGACCGTTTTCGCTTGACGTTGTCGTAAGTGACCCACTTTTCATCACCAGTAACCATTCGCTTCAGAAATGGGTCGATTTTGTTGCGATTCAGCAGCGATTCGCAGATGGAAATTCGATCCATGAGGTTTTTTTGCGTTAACTCGTGTGGCACCCATACATCGAGCTTCTTTTTGTATCCAGCCTTATTTAAATGGTTCCAAACGGTTTTTTGTGCAATGTTTAGCTCCTGGGCAATCGAAACAGTGCTTACATGACGGTCGGACTCGACGATTTCCATTATTTTATCGACATTTTTAACAATTGGCCTTCCAGAGCGTGGTGCATCTTTGACATCAAAATTACCGGAACGGAATCGACGAAACCAAAATTGCGCGATATTGACTGTTACAGTATCAGGACCATAAACACTATTCACATTTTCAGCCGCCTGGCTTGCGTTTTCGCCTTTATCGAAGAAAAACTGTAAAATATGGCGTATTTTCTCTTTGTTGGTGTCCATCTTTGACACGCGCTCAAACAATACTGACTCAAGCAATCACAAAACTGTCCGAGAAGTTTTTTTAGTACGAAATCTTATCTTTCTAACGCCATTTGGCATAACCTGATCGCACTTATACAACGCGAGATACAGATTACTAAAGCCATCTATTGGAAAAATAATAGATTTCTTTTTACTACACCTAATATATTATATTTATAATTTTAGACATACCACTGTATATATTAATATAGATCTATTTTTTGTTTATAATTTCAATATATTTCTGGAATAAATCAAATGAAATCATAAAACAGTATGTGAAATATGATATTTGTAAGTCAACAATTTATTAACAATTTCAGATAACACAAAGTTTAAAATTGGGACATAAAATGTCTTTAAGATCTCTTTAACATAACGCCATAACATAAATCTTTAAGACGTTTTATGCTCCAGTTTTGGACATGTATTCAAATTTGTGCCTAGGATATAGGATAAGGATAGAGAAAATGATAAAACAATGAAAAATTATATTTACTTAATTATTGTAATGAGGGTGTTTCGACAAGTCTGGTAAATCTTTATAAGATGGTGCCACAATCCATT